CCACACACACATCGCAACCCGGGTTGGCCGCCGTTGACCGCCCACCAGCCCGTTCAGAGCCTTATCATGGTAAGCCCCCCATCCCCAGCTCCCTCTCTCCTCCCCAACCACATACACACATACATACATACATAAACATATATGGCTCAGTTCTTTTAACAAGCACACATCGCAAAACACACACACAGGTATGCCGGAAAGTACGGGGTTCTCCCCACACGCCTTTGCTGTCGGTCTTCGGCTTCTTAACTGATACGCGTCTGATTTTGATCGCTGGTTTCTGCTGCTGCTGCGGCGGCGGTGACTTCGGCGTCGGCGGTAGCAGTGGTAGCGGCGGTAGCAGCAGCGGCAGCCTTCGTGCCTCATGCGCGTTCCTGCCGCTTTCCACCAGCGCTGCTGCTGCTGCCCCCTACCAAACCCGCGTATCCGTGTCGTACCATGTATGCTTAGACTGTATGGTAAGATTGCCTGAATGGTTTCGGTTTCGGTTTTGGCGTGCGCGTTTGCGCACCCCACCCATCCCCTTCCCGCTCCCTCCCGCCCCCCTCCTCCCGCTCGTTCGTCCGCATCATCACGCTGTCATCTTAATCTTTACATTATTTTCATATCTGGTGTTATGTGTTTCGTTAGCGGGTGCTCCGTCTCCGTCCTGCCGCACGCACGACGGCTCTGGCGCTGGTCCTAGTGCTGCTGTAAGAACTGTTGCAGTCAGTGCTGTCTTGTCAGTCGCTCCAATTACTTGACTTTCTGCTGCTCTTAACTTTCGGAGGCTGTTTCTTGTTGTTGTTGCTGTCAGGCTGGCAGATGGAAAGCAGAGCTGGCAGGCCTCTGCGGGCGGGCGGGGGGAGTTGAGAGCTGGCGCCAGGAGCGCCATCATGTGGCGGACAGCGCGGGAGCCCACACGCCCAGAACGCGGCGTGTGGGTAGGTGCTTTGGGAGTTCGGATGGCGTGGGGAGGAGGGAATTGGGTTGCAAGCTAATGGTGGCAAATCCAGGTCATGAGCCGGATGAACTGGACTTGAAAGCAACGCGTGCGAGCCGGAGCCATGAACCCCACCCCGCGTGGCCGCGCCCACCTCCTGCGACTGGGTGTTGTACTGCACCATCTGGGCGCCGACAGACCACATCATCCTATCGCCTTCGATGTGCCATAGGCAATTCTTGCAGGCGATGTCGAGCCCAAAGGCGAAGCTGGATGGCAGAACCGGGGTTACATACATGGCTAACATCAAACGCATATCTTTTCCTTGGGGAGCTCTTAATATACCTGGGCGTGATGATAGCGCCATAGTGCCCAGCGCCTTTATTTTCTTCGCTGCCTGTTGCCCCAAACATCTCTCTTAGAAATAGTGTTTCACTTCAGGTGCCAAAGGATGGCATATTATTTGAAGCATTATACGAATAGTAATAATATGATATCATTTCGTTCCTTGCGAGGAAAGCATCATCTGTAGATAAAACTTCTTTCAGTGCACACAGACGCGTTTGGAGAGGTCCAAGACAGTTCAGCAGCTTTACGAGTTATCAGACGTAAAAGTAAATGATATTGGAGACCCCACGACAGTCGAGACGTTTGTACGGCAGTGTCAGTTTCCCTTCCTCTGTGGAAAGCGTTCGCAATAAAGATGATACGAAAGTATAACTCACATAAAATGATACAAGTAACAAAATCTGATAAGCAGCTTTGCAGCTTTCCTTGGCAAGGTCGCCTGGAATTGAGTCATCTGTCGTCGATTCCAGCCGCACCCTGTAACCCACTTTGCGTAATGCGCATTATGATAGTTAAAATTTATTGTGGATTTATACTGCGCTAAAACACACCCGGGCCCAACCTAGCTAGGTAGGCGAGGTAGCTGCGAGGTCTTCCCGTTCGTCTGTTACGAGGGCTAGGCTGTCATAGTGTTGTCAGATAGTGGCTGACCATTTGTCAAGATAGCAACACCACCAAACTGAAAGTTTGCGAATGTGAAAAACGAAGAGAGGACGCACCAGTCGACAGCGACAGATAAGGCCCGCGTCCGCATGGCCGTCGCTGCACTATCTGCCGCTATTGTACAACAGCGACACGGGCTGTAAATAATCTTAGCCGAATCCAGGCTTGCATCTGAGTCTGACAGCTCAACACCCAAAAGGACACCGCCAGGAAGCTCACGCTCCCACTGGATCCGGGATCCGAGGACCATACCTCGCTCTCCTGAGAGTTCCGCCTCGTAAGCGGCCCTTTCTTCGTGTCATAACCTCGAAATTTCTGTGCTTGCAGAGCTTGTTTGCTTTGCGTTTCCCTGTCCCTGACCTTCTGCGGACTATATGGTTTACTAAGCTCCACGCTAAAGGTGCATCTGCAGACCCTGGCAACAAGAAAAACGTGTCTGGCCACCACGAAACCGTGTCTGCCAGTCCCCCGGCGAGATATCGGCGGGATGTTGAGGTAAACAACAACCACGGGCAGCCAAGTGGCCGCAAGGAAATGGAGGAAATGTCGTACACAAGAAGTAACCAACCTACTGTTTGTACGGCAAATATGGGGGCCCTGGTGAAGCAGCTGACCGCGTACTTAAGTAGGGGTACACCGGGGTCCTGGTGAAGCAGCTGACCGCGTACTAAAGTATATAGATGCGGAAGGTGCCGAAGTATGTCGGTGAAACATGATGTGGCAGGACTGGAGAGAATAGTGCAGCAGTATATTGTGAGTGTAGTTGAAGGGTTACAAGGCGTTCGGCGCACGGGCGAATTTACGTGCATACCTTTCATCGTGGGCGCGTCACGTTGCAAGCTAAGCAACGCGTATACATGACGTGTAGCATCAGTCCTCAGTTCACTTCTTGTAACGAACATCAGCATAGGTCCAAGCTCTCTCGCTTGGAGGGATATGCAAACAAACATCATGATAGGTAAACTCGCACGCTACCGAGCATTCAACCGAGCACGCTACGAGCAGTCCTTGTAAGGAGCAGCATACCACCCAAAACGCTGGTGTCGGTATCGGCTGTTCCAAAAAGCTGTTCCAAGCCATCAGCGGCGTCCATGTCACCCACACGGCTCTGAACGACTTTTCTGATCTTATGTTTAATTAAGTTTGTGTATGTTATATTTTTTTGCGCAAGTTTGTAATTTGACTTTACTCTGAACAAGGTGCTGTATGCGTTGCGCTACCAAAAGCGCGCCCCTTTGCTTGCACAAAAGTGCCGCTTCGCCAAAGAGAGGTGTAGTACGGAAGTGTTTGAGCTATTGTGAACAGTGCTGCTGCTGGTGATCATTTCAAGAGGCTGTAGGGTGCGCAACGGCACATTCATAGTTCTTGGCTGGCGTCCTGGGCAAGCACGAGAGAGTGATTAGGGCCAACCCCAAACATTGGGGCACCCTTTTTCTCGACGGGCCTCGCCCCTGAGCGCGGTGCGGAGCGCACCAGCCCCATGTGAAGCATCCCGGCATGTTGCGATTGAATCCCTGATGGCGCAACCACCGCCTCTGTCTCTTCAGGATACAGCTTGATGTGCAATAATCCTGACCTGCATACATGTGACGTTCTCGTCATGCAGGTATGTGGACAGGTATGTGGAGTAGGCATGCAGACATGTCACTGCTCCGCAACGGACAGGGAGACGATTATTATTCAGTGTTTCAGGGCTCCCCGGGCCCTTACCCCATGTAACATACGAGTGGCAATTTCTGAGCATCCCAGAGCAATCCGTCAGCCAACAACACTATGGGGGTGGTATATGATAGGGCTGCTCAGGCCTGGGGTCTCAGGGTTCAAAGAGAGGCGGGCTGCTTGAAGGGGGCAGGGTGAACACCGTCAAGGGTGTGGGCACACAATAGTTGATCGCTTGGCCCCCGCCACCCCCAGTTATACGTTTAGATGGCTCTACCTTCGAGCACGATTGGAATCCACCAGATTCTAGATCCCACCGGACAGAACCGCACTGCCACAAGCTGGTTTCAGACTGTCCATGTTATCGCCACACTGAGAAGAGCTAAAAAACATCGTTACATATTCATTTTATAGTTTTCGCAGCTTTCCGCAGTTTCCGCAGCCTTCCCGCAAAGGGCCTCCCGATTACGAAACGTTTCCGCAGACCTGGTCAAGTTTCGGCTCGTTCCCTGCTTTCCTTTTGCAAAAGTGCCGCTTCGCCAGACGCTTCCTCTTCCCCCGGCCGTTTCATGACCCCGTCTTGCAAGCAAAGTTGTAAGCTTCCAGTTACGTCATAACAGCCACCCATTCCTCCGGGCCTGCTTGCCGCGTGCGACTGTGGCCAACATGCCCTACTGCGCAGCGCGCTGGCACACCGCGGCCTTTCGCCGAAAAAATTACATACACTTGTACACGCGCATTTTGAGAATCGCACGTGTGCATCCGCGCGGTAAATTTCGCGCCTGGCTTTTGGGGCGTCTTGTACGAACGGTTTATTCGGCACAGTACGACCGGACACAATTGTGCGAGGGTGTAAGGACGTTAGGCCCATTGGCCGCTCGTCCGAATCAAGTGTTCTCTAACTAACGCCAAAGCAGTGTTCGGGCCGAAACGGAAACCTGCCGAAACGGAAACCTGCCGAAACTAGTTTCGGTGTTTCCGGCGAAGAGGTCCTGGTTCTGCGGAAAGGCCGAAACTAGTTTCGGCCCCTTTCGGCTAGCGCCGTACGGCGGAACCTACTCTGAATAGTTTCAAAGTGTAGGCGCGTTGTGCAAGGCTGCGAAACTCTGCGAATGTTGAGTTTATCTTAACAATGTCTCAGACAACTTCCGTTGTCAGTGCAGACACAGATCCGGTCAAAAACAAGGGCGGAAGGACCGCTGATCAGACCGTTTGGGCTCACTTTGAGAAGAAAGAATATAATGCAAAGTCTAAGAACTGGACTATCATCTGCAAGTACTGCCGGACCGAATATGCCGGTATGGAGGGCAGATCTTCAACCTGGTTCAGCGGCCCCCAACCACCAGCAGCTTCATGTAAAAGTTTCCCTTTGCGCATCCCAACATCAGACGCCAGTTACATAAGAAAAATGTCAGTGAATTCAAGCTTTAATCGCAGATTAGTAACATTATGGTGACCCGGAGTGCCTTCGGACACACATGAGCAGGTCCCATGAGGCGCAAAGGCACATAGGGCCCACGAACAACGTTTGCATACCATGGACGTCATTAAATACAGTATTTTCAGGGTTTCGGCAGTTTCCGACGGTTTCGCGAGGTTTCGCAGAAGGCTCCAAAAATCGGAAACTATTTCGGTATTTGCAGTGAGGTTTCGGCCCGTACACTGCGCCAAAGGTGTTCCTGTACGATAGGGCCTTATGGCACTAGCGTCCAACTCAGTTAAAATACTGATCTTTACCTAAAAACGGTATTCTTCAATACCACCAAATTGTGGACTTCTAACTCCTTGAGTTAGTTAGTATACGACGCGGCACCCTATAGGGACCTAGCATCGTTACAGTTTGGCATCGAAGACGGTCATTGCTTCCGCTAATCCTTCCACAAGCTAATTCTTCCACAATGTCTGCAAAAATCTCCAACGGCGTGGACAGCGACTGCAGCGGCAGGAGCAACCGTAATGGCGGGAAGTCCACCCGCACCCGCGACTTGGAGGTAACACGCCTCAAAACGGCGAGGCATGCTTATAATCGTGAGGTTCAAATGTTCAACCTCGCGCGCAAGGCGCATCCCGATTATAAGTTGCCCGCCGAATTGAAGTTGCTAGTCAATCGCGCGCTGCGGGACAAGACCGCCGATCTTTACTGGTGGCATTAAAGAGCA